GGCGATTGCTGCCTCATACTCGGCTTCATTGTTCGAGGCCTTAAAAGAAAACTTTAGTGCATACTCAAAGGATTTGCCTTCGGGAGAAGTTATCACTACTCCTGCCCCTGAACCGTTTTCGGTGGAAGATCCATCCGTAAACACGGTCCAAACTTTCTTTTCACTGTCTAGCGCTTCTTGGTATGAGCATTCGGCCAGGAAATCCGCTAGAGCTTGAGCCTTAATGGCATCCCTCGGACGGTAGCTGATGCTGAATTCGGTGAGCTCAAAAGCCCACTTGGCTAGCCTACCAGATTTTTCAACCTTGCCGAGAACTTTTTCCAACGGCTGATCAGTTAAGACCACTATCTGATGGCAATCAAAATAGGGCCTCAGCTTCCGAGCAGCTACTACTACTGCGAAAGCAACTTTCTCGAGTAGTGGATAGCGAGTCTCGGCATCCGTCAGTGTATGACTGACGAAGTAGATCGGTTGCTGACTTTTACTCTCTTCCTTCAGCAATACTGCGCTGATGGTGGCAGGGCTAACGGCCACATATAGGTATAAAGTTTCTCCTTCAGCTGGACTAGCCAGCGTTGGGAGCTCAGCCAGATGCTCCCAAAGCTGTTTAAAGGCGTCTTTTTGCTCTTCCTCCCAAACGAGCTCTTTTGTTTTCGGGAGTTTCAGGGCTTTGAAGAAAGGTAACCCCTTATCCGAAGCTCTGGAAATGAACCTCGAGAGGGCTGCCATTCTTCCGGTGAGCCGCTGAACATCCCGCTTTGTTTTCGGCTCAGGAAGGTCGAGTGCCGCTTTGACTTTAGAGGGATTGGCATCAATCCCCCTTTTGCTGACCATGAACCCAAGGAATTTCCCTGACTTCACGCCGAAGACACACTTCTTCGGATTCAGCTTCATTTGATGCTTTCTCAAGGTGGCGAAAGTTTTAGCCAGTCCTTTACATGGTCCTCTAGTTTTTTGCTTTTGACGATCGAATCGTCAACATAGACTTCCATGTTTCGGCCCTTTTGATCGGCGAAAACTTGATCCACCAGCCTTTGATAGGTTGCCCCCGCATTTTTCAATCCGAAGGGCATCATTTTGTAATTGTACAACCCAGCGTTCGTGACGAATGCTGTCTTTGCTCGATCGTCGGGGTGCATAAAGATCTGATGATACCCCGAGAATGCGTCCATGAAACTAAGCAAGGCATGGCCACTTGTCGAATCGACTAGCTGATCGATCCTCGGCAAGGGATAGAAATCCTTTGGACAAGCCTTATTTAGGTCCGTGAAGTCAACGCACATCCTCCAGGTACCATTGGGCTTCTGAACCATCACCACATTTGCCAGCCATTCTGGATATTGGCAAGGTTCGATGAATCATGCCTCCAATAATTTTTTGACCTCGGCTGCGATGTCTCGGTTCTTATTGGCGGAGTAATTCCGCTTCTTTTGCTTAACTGGTCGACACGTCGGGTCAACATTAAGCTTATGGGAGATGAGGTCTGAACTTATCCCGGGCATATCAGCTGCCGAGAAAGCAAACACATCTCTGTTGTCCCGAAGGAGCTGAATAAGTTCACAACGGGTGTTCGGATCAAGGTCCATCCCGATTGTTACACATTTCTCAACGTCTCCTTCGGCCAACTGAACTGTTTCAGTCTGTTGGTCCATGTCCATTGCTGATGGACTGGACTCTTCAGAATCTGGCCTGCTGCCAATGTCAGCAGGTGTCCCAGTCTTTTTGTTCTTCGGCTGGCTCTCTGAGTCTTGCGGCTCAGCTGAAGAGCTAGCCTTTTCCCTTTCGGGCCCTTTTTCTCTGGGCACAGATCCTTGGGCCGAAGCACTTAGGCCTTTTGGCTTTTTTGTGCTTGGCTCTCTTTCTTTTTCTTTCTCCTCCTCATCCTTGTCGTCATCTGGGCGACTACTGGATGGCTTGAGGTAGTTGCACCTTCGGGCGTCCTTTTGGTTGCCCTGTATCCTTTCGGGGAAGCCGGCGTCTGAGACGTAAATCATCAGTTGATGATAAGTTGAGACAACCCCTTGGATCTCGTGAATTATGGGTCTCCCCAAAATCACGTTGTACACTGAAGGAGCGTCGGTGACCAAAAATTCAATCATGATGTTCCGGGCTGCCTCATCGCAACCGATGGTGACAGGAAGTGTCACCTTCCCATCTGGATAAGTTGAAGCCCCATTGAACCCGGATACCGGGTAGGGTACCGGCGTAAGGTGCTTGGGCTTCAGCTTAATTTGATTGTAGGCCTTTCGGAACAGAATGTTTGCTCCACTGCCACCGTCAACAAGGACCTTACTGACGTCGTGGTTGGCCACCGTGGCGATGATCACCAACGGATCCTCGTGAGGGAACGTAATCCCCCGGCAGTCGGCGGCTGTGAACGTCATGTTCGGCACCGGCGACTAGGGAGATTGAATGTCAGCGTTGTTCACCTGGTGAGTCAAAGCTCTAAGGTGTCGCTTGTGCTCCCTCCGAGAGTATATTCCTCCCGAGATAACATTGATCGGAGGGAATTTCCCCTCCGGATTTTTACTGTTTTTCCGGGGGAAGTCGAGGTCTTGCCGAGGGTCCTTTGCTGACCTCTCGGATTTTTTTTTTCTCGCGGTGATCCGCGATGTATTTTTTCAAGTATCCCTTCCGGACCATGTCCTCTATCTGGTCCTTCAGTTGGATACACTCCTCAGTGTTGTGTCCCGAAGACTCGTGGAACTCGCACCACTGATTTTTATTTTTTCGCTGATACCACTCTGGGAGTGGTCTCGGCTTTCGGTAAATCTGCTCCTCCTTCGTCACGCTGTAAATTTTGGCGCGTGGAAGAGAGAGCGGAGTGTAGGACTCGTATCTGCCTGTGTATGAGGCAGATCTTTCCTTCTTTGGGTCGATGACCAAAGATTGCTCCGGGGCCTTTGACTTTCCCTTTGCCTTATGGCCTTGGGCTTCAGACAAGGGTATTTGTATCTGTTTCCCTCCCCCGAATTGAGGTTGGGTTTTCGCTTTGTTCCATTCTTCGGCTCGAATGAACTTATCCGAAGCACTAAGAGCTTCCTCCAAGGTCTGCGGGGTATGCATGACCATGAAGTCTAGGAACTTTCCGGGCTGAAGGCCATTCTGCATTGCGAAAACGGCTAGCCCCTGGTCCAGCTGGGAGACGCTTGATGACTCGTTACTAAAACGGGTCAGGTAGTCTCGGAGGCTTTCGGTTTCCCCCTGTTGCAGACTCATGAGCTCTGCGGTAGTCTTCTCTCGGCGGTTTGCCGTGGAAAACTTGCTCCTGAACTTGGAGGACAGATCATCCCACCCTGTTATGGAGCCTTGCCTTACTCCCTTGGAGATCCACGCTTGCGCGACCCCCTTGAGAGTGGTTGGGAAATATTTGCACCAAGTCGCCTCGGATCGGGGGCAAAGATGCATATGAGTCTCATACGAGGCCACGTGATCCTTCGGATCCGTGGTCCCGTCATATGTGATGTGCGACGGTATTTTAACCGTGGGTACGCGCTCTTCCAGTATCCATTGCTCGAATGGTGAACTGGCGGGTAGCATAACGACCTTGCCCTTGTTCCTGGCCGAAGGGACCGCGCTCCGCCCTCTTAGAGAGGTAGGAGTGGTTTTCGTCCCTGGCTGGGAAGTCTGGGCCTCGGCTGCAGGGAACGAGAGGCGACTGTGCACGCTCGGTTCCTTGCCGCCGAGTCGGTCAAGGACGCTTCTGCGAACAGTCTCAGGTTCTCGGTGATTAGATTCTGGCCGAGAAGCTGAGCTGCTGCTCTTATGCGCTTCTGGTCTTGAGGATGAGGATCCTTTTAAAAATTGAGGGTTCTTTTTCCTCTGTTTTTCATTTTTCCAGGAATCCTCCTCCCACTCTTCCAGTTCCCGGAAAGAAGGAAGCTTCCCACCATCATGGTCTAACTTCCTCCGCTGATGCCGGGTATGCGGAGGAGTTCGATCACGAGGTGGTGGCATATTTTGTGCCCTCATCGCCTCCATGAGTACTGCCAGCGCTCTTGCCACCTCTTCCGAGCTGGGCCCCGTCAAAGGGGTCCTCGGCCGAGTGTGGGAATGAGGGCGCGCAGCCGATGGTTGGCTTTGGGACACTGAATGTGTCCTGTGATCGGACTCACCCCTGCTAGACCGAGAGTAACTCGGCCTATAATGAGAGTCATGAATTACGGGAGATAGGGAATCCTCCTTGTATGATCCTCCCCCCGAGCCGGCACCCTTGGGAGAGTTCCGGTCCGGCGAGGGTGATGGTGTAGGGGTTTTAGGCTTTTCGCTCGCTCCTTGACGGAGGCTTTTGCTCTTGCGGTTCTTAGCCATTGCTGCTAAGATAATTGCAAGATGATCTTGGTTAGGAATTTGGCTTAAAGATTTTTGAAAGTCTTCCCCACAGACGGCGCCAAATTGTTTCGGGTGAAAACAATGGGACCTTGCCGAAGGTCCGCTGAAACGGAGAAGGCTGGATTCGGTCCAAGTTATGTTGGGCCGAAGGTTTCCTGCACAGTGAACACACGTAAACTAGCCTCGGGGGTGTTGCCGAGGAAGGCCCCTCCGATGCTAAAGTCAGTACAATGTGTAAGAAGAGGACACTATGCAAGAGAGTTTGTTGCTTGAGGCTTTGATGGAATATATCAGAATATATCAATGAACATATGAATGAATGAACACCCCCCCATGAATGAACGTATCTTGATGGCTTTTATACCTCATCATACATGGAGAGGTTGGGCCTTAGCCCAATTGGCTTGCTTTGTGGGCTGACCTTTGACTTTAGCACAATTGGAGAGTTGAACCTTGACCTTGGGCTTTTAATTGGATCATTTAATGCCTAGGCCCAATTGGACTAAATTGGACCCAAACAGTATCAAACATCACTTTGATTGAAAGAGCATCCGTTTCCACGATAATTTTCTGAAAGTGGTGAGCCTTAGCAACTGTAATACCCTCCTTAACCGCGAGCAATTCAGTAGCCAAAGGAGTAAGGGCATTGTATTTGCTTGAAAAGCCCATCACCCATGAACCATCCTGCCTCTAACATATCCACCACTAGCAGCATCATTAATGGCCACCCAAGTACCGTCAGTTGTAACCTTGGCATACCCTTTTGGGGGAAGGATACCAGGCAAGACGATTCCTACGAGGAGTAATTGCAATAGCTTCCATCTCCCTCTCATTATCCTGCAAAATGTGGTTAGTGCATTGATGATCTATTATAAAGCAATTGAGAGATCAAAAACCGCTTTGTACCATTCCCAATTCCTATTTTCATACCATTAGCCAAGAGCTCCCTACCTTTCAAGATATCTCTCCAAATTTGGGATTGAGAATTATTAGGAATGTGATCAAGAAAGGCAGAAGATTTAAGATATTTTTTATTGAAAATTCGAACCCACAGCTTATTGGGATTATTTAACATGGTCCAACCAAGTTTAGACATAAAAGCTAAATTCCAATCCCTCAGTCTTCTAATTCCTAACCCTCCTATCTCCATAGGTTTAGTAACATGAGCCCGTCCAATTCTAGGGGAGTAATGAACATGATCCACTTTGTTCCACAGAAATTTTCGACAACTTTTTTCAAGGTTATTAAGGATAGAGATGGGAAGGAGATTAGTTTGCATATGATAAACCAGATAGGAATCAAGAACCGATTTGATCAAGGTAGATCTACCCGCAAGATTAAGAAGTTTGGCTTGCCATCCTTTAATCCGATTAATAGTTTTGTCTAGCAAAGATAAGTAATTAGAGCTTTTAAGCTTATTTGGGAGAATGTTGATTCCTAAATACTTACCAAAGCCAGAAGAGCAAGATAGATTAAAGGGGGCAGCCACACTTCGTCTAACAACATGACACATTTTGGTAGGGAAAATCATCGAGGACTTAGACTCATTCACATTAAGACCAGATATACGACCAAAATCCTTAACCACATCCATCATGACAGTCACATTGTTGAGGAACGCTCTACCAAACAAAAAAAACATCATCGGCATAAAAATATGGGAAAGATTTAACCGAAGTGCTAATTTTAATAGGTTTCCACTAACCATTGTTAACTTTATTTTCAATCATTAGGGACAACCGCTCTAGACAAAGAACGAAAATATAGGAAGACATGGGATCACCTTGCCTAATACCCCTAGAAGGCTTAAAGCTATCCGTGATCTCAGCATTCCAAAGAACCGAAATGGAAGGAGAACAAATACAATCCATAATGAGATTAGTTAAAGCCAAAGGAAAACCAAAACCAGTAAGAGTATCCCTAATAAAACTCCACTCTAAACTATATTTTTCCATATAGGATTTATTGATACACTCTGGGATTTTGGAAGTATTAAAGCAATGTATAACAAAATCACTAATTTCAGAATGCAAATGTTCCCAAAAATGTTGGAAGAATTTTGGCTGGATGCCGTCGAGACCAGGACAGTTGAGGGGATTCATTCTAAAAAGGCATTCTTTAATCTCATCAGAGTTAGGAATTCTGCTAAGACTTAAACAATCCCTCTCCGAAAGATAATAATTGGGAGTGAAGGAAGAGATATCAGGAGGGCCGTGAATTTTGGTAGAAAAAATATCTTTAAAAAAATCCATTTCCATCTTTTTTAGATTATCATTATCACTAATCCTAATACCATCTTTATCTTGTAAGCTAAGAATTTTTCCTTTGGTTTTTTTTTTATTTTCGCTAAAATATGAAAATACTTAGTGTTGTGATCCGTATACTTACGCCAATTAATCCATGCCTTTTGACCCCATATAATACGCTCCTTTTTATAAATACTATTAAGATCTATGAGCAGCTCTTTTTCCAAATTAATTAAAAAATTAGAATGATTCCTAGCTAAATAAATTTGTATTCCATTGATTCTTCCTAGGAGCCGTTTTTTTCTAGATTAAGACTTAAAATCAATTGATCGTTTTTTGTAAAACTTAAAATACAATTCTCACATTACTATTTCAGATTATTTAATCCTTTAAATACCAAATTCCTTAAATTATTACAAAATTTTTTGAACCCTAAGGGCTAAGGTCGAAAATACTCTATGAATCATTAAAAAATTAATAACAACACAATTCATGATCAGTTTGTACGTGGTCAAAATGTTGGTCGATATCTTAAACAAATTAGAGCGCGAATGTATGATAATGGGTGGTTTTTAAGATCAATGACGAAGAACATATTTTTACATTTAAAATTTTAATTTCAATAATATAATTATTAAATTTTTGAAAATCAATTTAATATATTTTTAAAAATTATAATACATGAATTTTTGATAATAATTCATGTATTTACAAGAATAGATGCATTTTTAATCAATATTTCTATATAATTATAAAGGAAAAAATCATTTTATAAATCTCAACTTTGGGCGGTTGACTTTAAAAAATCCCAACTTTCATACCCATTTTCTTATAGAGGACCCAGCAGATCACCAAACTTGCTACTCTAGGTTTCTAGGCCACCTGTCACACTATATTTGGTCCAAAAAAATCAGAAAATTAAATTAAATCAGAAAATTAAAAACAAAATAAGAAAATAAAAAAATGTGAAAAAAAATCAGAAAAAATCTAAAATAAAATTAAAAAAAACAACCAGCAACCCCCACCCACAAAACCACCAGCCCCCATCCCCCAGAAAAAACCACTCCCCTGCCGGAATTCCCCCATCCCGAAACTACCTTCCCCGACCCTCCGCCTCCTTTAATTGCCGGGAAACAACCCCCGGCGTCGCGAAACCCCTCCCCTCCCTAAATCTATCCCGTAATACCACCCTCCCCTAATCCCCCACACTCGAAAACTGGTTTGGAGAGGGGTGGTTTTACGGGGAGGGGGGGTTTCAAGGGTGGGTTTTGAGGGCGGGGAGGGCTGGGCGCCGAATTTCGACGCGGCGGGAGGTGTTTACGGGGGGGGGGGGCGAATAACCGTCGGGGGTGGGGCCGTGGGGGTGTTCTCCGGGATGGGCTGTTGGTTTGGGGTAGGGGGCTGGGTTGGGTAGAGTTGTTTTTTTTTAATTTTTAAATAAATCAGATTTTTTAACAACAATTATTTTTTTATTTTTTGAGCCACTAACTGTGTGACACATGGCAATTTAAAAAAAATTAAAAAGTTAATCTTTTCTTCAGGTAACAAGTTATTTGGGTCCTATGAAAGAAAATACCCCTAAAAGTTGGGATTTATTAGGGATAACGTGTAGTGGATTTTTAAAAGTAAAACGCTCAAAGTTGGGATTTATAAAATAAATTTTCCAATTATATACCATAGTTCCAAAAAAAAAAAAAAAAAAAAAAAAAAAAAAATTAATGAACACCGTATATGAAATCATCTATACTATCGGCAAGTTTTGACTTTCTGGGTTAAAAAAAGCAATAAGTCTCAAGTAATAAAGATTCTTTGTATGCTAATCACATTAAATTTGAAGTCCCATTTTTGGTTGCTAATGGCTTCAAGGGAAGTTTGGTGGATTTTTCATTCTATGAGTTCAGCTTTGCTCCTGCCTATGTATGAAAATGTAATTCTGATTATACTAAATCAAAATGTAGAAGGCAAGCGTAAAAGGGATTTTAGGTGGAAGTTGAAGCCATAGGAAAAGTATATATGACACAAGACTCTGCTAACAACCATGAGCTTTTTCCTCTTCCATAATGAGCTTGCTTGTTTTCACTTAATAATTGCTTGCTTATGCTTATGCCTACTTAATTGCAGCAGAGCTTCAGGGTACTTTGTTGCCCTTGATGTTTTGATGATAACACAAGTCAAATAAATGGATTAATGCCTTGATAAGTTGTGTAATTTGTTTTGTACAAGTTACAAGATCAAGTCAAGGTAAAGGAACAAGAGCTTAAAGAAACAAAAGACTTGTTGTAGTGTTCCTTTAGAGGAACAAAAGTTTCGGAGTAGAAGCAGAAGAATGAAGGCTCGGAGCAGAGACTTCTTAGACAAATATAAAGTCTAAAATATTTAATGTTTTAGGTTTTATCTAAGTGAGAATAATTAGGTTTTGATACTTAGTAGAATGCGATTTCAAATTTGGTTTAAAGATAGAATTTTATTGATTGCTAAAATATAAGGAAGTTGGTTTTGAAAATATCTTTCTGTTTTGATTGCAAAATGACATCTTTTATTTCGGAAAATATTTCAAAAATATTGTGCAACTGATTCCCTAAACTTGCGCTGCTAGTGTTTGATTAAGTCTTCACCACTAAACAAAGAAACTGCTTCTTAGTGGTTCAGCGTGCCCTGAGTTTTAGGACATGTTTGAGGCACTAAAGGTAGTGGAGAATGGTGGTGTTGATATGCAGCAGTAGTAGCGTAAGTGGAGGGAGTAATGGCGTTTTATTCAAGCCAAGTTTTTCTATAAATACTGAAGTTAAAGTCTGGAAAAACTTTACCCTTGCTCAATCATATATTTCTATCTTCTTTGTTTTCTAAAGAGTCGAGAGTCGCATTCTACTTTAAGGTGTTAACTTTCTTAATTACTTTTATTAGAGTATTTTCTTTCACAAGTTGTATTTGGGGATTGGGAGTTTGAGTGAACTTAAGAGAAGTCAGAAGAGAAAGAGAGAGAAGAGCAGTGAGTAGAGGGACTTACTGCTGTGAACTTCAAGTTCACTAAGGAGCTTGAAAATAGAGTCTTTAGCTTGTAATAGGTTGGTTGCCCTATTCTATTCTAGTAAAGAATTTTTCCTAAAATCCCAAGTGGTCGTGGTTTTTCTCCTTGCTAGGGCCAAGAAGTTTTCCATGTAAAATCTCTTTATGTGACTTTCAAGTTCCTTTAGCTTAGTTTTAACAATGCCGCAAAAACTTAGTTAATTTCTCCCAAACTACAATTCACCCCCCCCCCCCCCCTCTTGTAGTATTTTTCTGAAGTAACATACTTAAGTTCAAGCTCTTCTTTCAATAACAAAAAGAATAATTTTAACCATGGTACTGGAAAAAGATAGTATGTTCCGGCTATATATGTACAATGTACTGTAGATTTCATCGTTGAATATCTACCAGCAGTGGCGAAGCCACAATTTCTAAGTGAGGGGGGCCAAGATTATACTTATTACATTTACTTAAAAAAAAAATTATTAGCTACAAGATTTGATCCCTTGACAACTTACATACTATCACATGGGAAAAACCAACTCCTCTACACCAAAATTAATGACAATGAAGAGCAAATTTAATTAATATTTTGAGCCAAGGGGGAGGCCAAGGCCCCCGCCAGGCCCCCCTTGGCTCCGCCCCTTCCTACCAGCTTCAAGAACAATCCCATGTATTTTCAGATTGGATTGTCAACTTCACTTACCCGAATCCAGATTCTCAAATGGCCTTTCATAGCCTTTCTTTAGGTAAAACTAGGCTACTACACCATAACCATAAGTTTCACCATGTCTCCCTACACGACACATTTTCCTCGGCTTCTATGATCTATGTAATTCGTAATCTATCTATATTATTATTAAACCCCGAAGGTAAGGAATGTTGTATCGCCATGTGTCATTTTTACGTTTTATTGCGCCACATCATATTCCAAGCTTGCCACATAATCCAAGTGTAATATTATTTAGTGTTCTTGAAAAACTCTTCATTGGTTTAACCTCCAAGTATTAATGTTAAATTAATTGAAAAACTCTTCATATGTATAACCAACTACTCTATTTAAATTTACTTTTTAATAATTGCACAATAATATAATTTGATTGAAAGGTTTTTCATACGTGTAACTCCCAATTTAAATTCCCCTTGAAACCCTTAGTAATTGCACAATAATATAATTTGTAAGAAATTAATCATTACTCCATTTTTTGTGCATTAATTCATAAAATTGTAGTTATAGAGTACGAGCAATAATTAATAGTATATATTGACATCAAAATTATAAAGATTTGATTTATTATTTGTTCTATATTAACCAAAAATAAAATTATAGTCAAACCAACTAGCTCACACAAACAACTAACTACGTACTTAAGATGTCATAATCTTTTTTTTTTTTTTTTTTTTAAAAAAACAAACAAAAAAAAAACCACACACTCACTATTTGAGCTCTCGGTGTCAAACAAGGCCATAGTATAGTTTCATTAAATTACTAAATTTATAATAAACCGGGGCATCATCCGGGCCAATAACTAGTTATACATATATAAAGGGAAGTTTTTTCCCGAGTTTTAAAAGAGCCACGTAGGATTTAATTTTCTTAGCACGCCATATACGATTATAAAATTTAGTGATAGTCAATTAAATAAGAGATTATTAGTTTCTTTTAGGTTTAAATAATTCAATTATCACGTAAGTAAAATTGGCGTGAGATTTTTAAGTTTAAATTAAAATATTATCTTTTGATATTACGAAATTTATCTATATATATAAAAAATTTAGTACATAAATAAAAAAAATTAAAAAAAATATTTAAAAAAATTAACAAGCCGTGCATCGCACTGGTTTCATCTAGTAGTATTATTAAACTACGCTAATATGCCAGTAGTTGACATTTGAACTCTTTCTGTGTATGACCAAATAGTCACTTATGCTTCCCTTTTGTTAGCATTTTATCTAAGCTTATTGTTCTAGCTCATTTGAAGTTTTCACGTAGTAATTAAATTGTC